ATTACAGGAGAGCAAGGAGCCATTGCTGTCGCAGCCGCAGACTCGAATGGTGAGGGTGTTGGTGCTGCTCATAGGGGGGAGTCCACCATCACTTATTACAATGGGAAGAAAGTACAAATCTTGCTTTTGGCGACTAAATCCTTCACGTCTAACAAGAACACTTGCTGTGTTATCTGTTTAAAGAAGGGAGATGGTCATTATCATTTTTTTCTCAAAGTTTTCATCTTAGCAAATATGGAAAAAATATATTTTGCCACAGTGGCCCCGATTTTTTTTTTTTTTAACATTTTAGAATGAAAAAACAACATGAACAAAGTATCACCTTCCTAATGACCCCAAAGCAATTACAGTATTTTGTTTCATTCATACCCCCCAATTTTAAGGGTGATGAAGGTAACACAAGGAACACAAAAACTGTCTCTCTTGGTTAGTACTTCTTAACATATATTGTTCTCTTTTCAAAGTATCTTACCATCCTTCATGTGCAAGTTCACCAATTACTTAAACACCACAAGGGAATATACTAACAGTAAACAAAGCAGTGATTATTGGACTCATAATGTTTATTATAAAACAGACATCATATAAACACTTGAATATTAGATATACCAGCTAAGGCAATGTAACACATTAACCATAAATACTAAACAGTGCATATGTCACCGAATGCCTACCCTGCAAACCGTTATCACAGAAAATGACAGTATTTTTTGCACCCCAGCAACTTTCTGGGAAAGTCACAATACTTCAACAACCGTTAGAATAACTGGGCCTTGGTATTGCTTGGTATAAGCAATTTAGAGAATTAAAGCCTTTAGCATAGGGGAAGAAAATGAATCCCCCTATTGACCTATTGCTCTTGGTGTCAGACCTGCTGGAATGGAAAACACCGACATGGCCTGTGTGAATGAGACTCCCACCAAAACGCAAATCCAGCGCTTACTGTGTATTAGCAGATCAGAGCTTCGGTGTTCATCTCTTTCAGTAAGATGCACTGAAGCAAGCAGCATTTTGGCAAAACCAGTTTTTCACCCAAACTCCTCCAAACCAGAATTCAGACAGCTCGACCATACATGCACAGGCTGTCGGGACACATTATGAATTACGTGGCCATGTACTGCATTACGGTGCCTGTCTAACACCATTTCCATTTGTTATCACTGAGCAGTTGCCTGCCTTGGGCTTCCTGGTCCAGGGCATCAAAACCAAGCATTCATCTCAGCACAGAAAGCTGTTTTGGATAGTCCTGGGGCAAAAGCATTTGAAAGGGAAGTGTGTGACGTGAAACACTGGGATGAGATGGCCAGGGCTTCCTGCTCCCAACCTTGACAGACAAAGACAAGGAAGCATGAACAGCATTGCTTTATTTGTGCTTCTTGTTTCTCAGTTCTCAGACTGAATCAAAGTTTATAAAATTGTAAACATCCCGAAGTAAGTAAAACAAAACAACCACATCTGTGGTTTTCAGACCTTCAAAAAGTTTATGACGATAATTTAATTCACACAACCTTTTCTGTTTTAAGAAAGTTCTTTACTTTTCACTATATAATGAAAAGAAAAAAAGAGAATAGAATGGTCCTTTTATCTACTAACAGAGGGCTATTCTCTTCCATTTTATTGCTGCCTTGGGGTACTGCAAAAGATTAATCATTTTCCTGTTGAAGAGTCAGCATAAATTCAAGAATTTAATAATGCAAACCATAAAACCTCTTTTAATGATCTAATCATTTTCCATGAAAATCTGTGAATAAATTATACCAAAAGTGAAGTGTTCTTGCCTTAATCACCCTTGCAGACAGTACCCCTGATGTAGGAGAAGGTCTGAAACAGTCCCCAGACTTGATGGACACAGATCAATTTATGGGATGAGAAGGATGCTTGTACTAGGGTCCTGTTTATTGAGACTCTCAACACTAGAAAATTTTGCAGATCACACCAGAATAGGATGAATTTTTTTAGGACTGTCTTAGATGCATTTGATACATGCAGAATTAATTCACCTCCCAATATCACTTCTGTTTTTTCGATGTGCCCTTTGTCTCCTTTCAAAGTCATTCTACCCTTCTAAATGTTTACATGCAACATTTCCCCAGCTAGGTTTTGTGGCACAATTTTTTGAAAGGATTTTAGTGTTTATCTGATAGGGGTCTTATTTTTGGACAGTAAGTTAATGGGCTCATGATGATTTTATATAAATAGAAGTGTAACATCTGATACCTATTAACCTAACAACAAATACCTGAACAAACATATATTGATACAGCATCAAATTAATCCAAAGGGTTTTCTAAAATGCATTTAATAATTCATTTCATCAACCTGAGAACAAGGATCTGCTCTATTAAATTAGAGTGCAGCAGGACAGACAACTCTTGTGCCGAAATAATATGAACATCACTAGAGGACTGAGATACAACTGCCTAGAGACTGTAAAGGCAAACTGGAAGGAAACATAAGCAGGTATTATCAAGTTATCAAGGTATTATAATCAAGTATTAGTATATTTAGTTTGTTGGTTACACATTTTTTGTATCATATTGCATGTTTCCTGAATTTTGGTAAATATTATTAATAGCTTAAATAGTATTCCTACTAGAAATAAGAAAAGGATGGAAAATTACTCAGTTATTATACAGTGTGGCCAATTATGTTATACTAAAGCTGAAAGTGATCCAATGGGTCATTTATTTGGTTTAAGTTGAGGTGATTTCTAAGTTAATATATACATATATTTTTAAAAGTAAAATCCAATCAATATTCCTGGCTAAAAATTAAAAAGGACTAACACGTCATTTAATTTCTTTTCTGTGTATGTTCACTTCTCACATTTAGAAAGAACATAATATCCACAAGAGAAAATAAAACTCTTTTACCTAGATAAAAGATAACATATAATCCTAGCTAATATTCTCATCCTCACTTTTTCATCATTTTCAAGTCCCAGGAGTATAACTATAATCCAGGTATAATGGCATATATTTTTTTAAGCCAAGAAACAGAAGTTAAATGTCAATACCAACTTAAAACTATTACTTAACACGTATGGGAGCTACTTGACTGGCAGTCTTGAAGAACACAAAGACAGAAAGAAGAAAATATCTGTCTCAACACCATCCAGAAAATGCACATGCTCTCATTTTTCCAGCTATTATTGTCACTGATTTTAGTGGACTCATGAACTTAATTTCAGTCTTCATACAGCTCTGTCTTGCATATTTGAAAACATCACTACACCTCACTTTTGCCAGTGTGGTATGATGCATCCTTGTGCAGCATGCAAAAGTGAGGTGGTTGCAATACTTCCAGCAGTATTGGCTTTGTGCCTGGCCTCCACACAAGGTGAACCCAAGTAAAGGGCGTTTCAGTTTAGGACAGACAGGTCAGGATTTACAGCAGGAAATCCATCTGCTAAAAATCCATCTCTCTGTGGTGAAGTGCTATGAGCCTCCGCTGCTCTTTTGAAGCTCTGACTTCAATAGGAGTAAAATTGAACAGAGCCTGGGCAAACACAGTGCTGTTTACTTATGTGGTATAATGTAAGTAAACAGCGCAAAAGTAATTCGGTGTTTTATCACAGCATGTGATAAGCCATTATCTCATGCTTTCTACTGAAGATAGTCTCAGCTGAAAAACTTGGTAACACAGTAGGCTATTAATAGGATGTAGAATGTGATTACTTTTTTGGATTACTGCAATATGTGATTACTTTTAGGAGTTGGTAGAAAGAAACTCTATTAAATGATAATTATAGGACTGTATTCGCTTTAAAGTTCTGTAATAGACCCAAACATTGGAGTTTTCATTAACTGTTCTCCACAGTTAATAAAGCCATTTTTCTCTGAAACTAGTAATTCCCTCTGAAAGCAGTGGCATGGTATATAGACTGCTCAGATTTACAAATGAAAAAGAAACTTTAAATGATCATGTAAATTATTTGACTTGCCAATGATAGCACACTCTTTCTGAGAAGTTCTTTATATGGAAATAAACAGAATTTTAACTCTCTACAATATCATAACTTTTTTTTTTAAATGAAACAACACAGAAATAGTTAAATTAACAACATGACTGCAGTAAGGATTGTACAAAAATGATAGAAAAAAACAGGATGTAAATGGATGGATTGCACTACACTATTTATTTTCTAAACAAAAATTTGTACAGGAAGATTCAACCCTTAAATACTGACTTGTTGAAATAACCTTTTCAGGTATCTAGGTCCAGTCACTACATTTGATGGACATCATCATTTCTATCACTGAACAGTTTTATCTGGGCTTTGTCATGAGAGAGAGAGAGAGAAAGATAGAAAGAGAAAGAGAGAAAGAGAGAATCTGCTGAATATGGAAATGAAAGATTAATCGAATTGGCTAGAGTCAGGCACCATAAGACCATTTGCCGGCAACTGTATCAAAGCATCTCAATTCTGATTTACGCATTCTCTGTTAGATTATACAATCTAATCCATTTTCAATTTAGAATGTTGACCAGAAAATATCTTGTGAGGAGAAATTTGACCTCAGGGTCTCAAGCAAAGAATTCATTTCTATTTACTTCTCTCTAAAATACATTCATCAGATTTTCAAAAATGGTGTTTTTCTTACTTCAAAGAGAATAAATATACTCTCTCCACTGGATCCTTTATGAATTGCTTATGTATGTACAAGTGTCAAGTACTAGGCAACAATATTACTTTGATCCTTCAAGAATTATGGAACTTTTGTTTAGGAATTCTGATGATAATTGCCCTCACTTCAGACATTGATGGCGATAGAAAGCATACCACAACATAACAATTGAGAGAAAAAAAGTTATTAGTGAAATTATGTATCTGGATTATGTTGCCTTTTGTACTTATGTCAATCTACAATAAATCATTATTTAAACCAGTTCAACTGAGTTCTACATTTCAGAAAACAGTTGTTTCCTTCACACATTAAAGCTTGCTATTTAAAACCAGTTCTTTAGAAGCTGAAACTGTATTTTTTTTCCCTGTACAGGAAAACAACAAATGAACATTGAACATAAATGCCATACTGATTATCACTAAATAAACAGAATAAATATTTATAATGGCTGAATCTGTATTCCTCCCCCCCCCGATTCCTCAACATCTGGTAAGTCAGGTTCAATGATGTTATAATGTTAGAATATCTAATAAATTTTAGCTTTCATCTATGCTTGTTTGTTTTGTTACTAAAATTTCTTACCTCTTATGATGCTCATTCTGACTGCAAGACTGTATTGTATTTCATTAACAGAAAATTGGCAAAGGGACCGGGATACCCATACACTGCGATATACCCGCCCTGGATTTCTGTTTCACAGCAGAAATTTCCTACAAAGGTTTAGTTTCACAGTGACTTCTTTCCACTAGGACATCCAAAAACCAGCAAACAGATTTAGGTGAAAAAATACAAGCAACATAATAATTTATCCTTCCCTCACTAATTTTAGATTAGGAAGTAGTTTTGTTTCAATCAAGGAGACCTGCTAATTAAATTTAGTGAACATTTTTCTCAATGTTTTTTATCCTCTTCCTGGGTGATAAAATGGCAGTGGATTTTCATGTAGGGTATTATTATGTAATTTTAAATATGTATTCAAGAAAAAAAGGTTAATAAGCATTACACTACTCCAAGAACATTCCTGTATTTCAGCTGTACTTTTTCTGCCTTCCTTCCCTAAATCTCTAGAAAACAGGCACTCTGTCAAAATTAATGAAAATGCTGTTGCATGACATTAAGTTGGCCATTAGTTTTCTTTTGTCATTTCTTTGGACACTATTATAGAGGGAACCTTCATACAAACCTCTGTTGTCTCTGAGTGTAAAATTTGGATTATGAATAATTTCAGGTGGTAAACTGAAGATAAATCTTGGTCCATTGGCGGAGTCATCCTTGTCATCAGCACTAATTGTAATAAATTGCTGTAAAAGAAAAGTAGTTTGTAAGCAAACAGCTCCTTCTCTGGATACATCACATATAGACAGCATTCTGAGAAATCATTCGAATACAAAGAATTACAAAGTCAGAGGAAATAGCTGAAAACACCAATATATCTCAACATATGTATGCAATTATAAACATAGTGCAGACTCAAAGCTAGAAAGGCAATTTTATTTAATATTACATTTAATCAACACAGGATTATAGATGTAAAAGTATAGACACACCTAGATACACATTCTTATATACAGACCTGTGCTAATGATAACTTAGTAGGCTAAATAACATTTTGCAGAAAATTCAGCAGCTCACAATGTCTCTTCCAAACTGCTACACCAAATCAAAAAGTGCAGGTAGTGTATAGTGCTTTATTTCCACCTGATGCTCTCCCTTTTCCTCACAGATTGTTCGGGGATAAATCTGTAAACTACACCATACAAGCACTGTACTGTCGTTCTTCTTGTAAGATGCTGAGTATTTCTTAATATCCAAACCAAGCTCACAACTGAGAAAGTTGTTCCCAACCAGCTCTGTTGCCCATGTACTGGTGGGTACTTACAGCCAACATCATTCACATTCAATACACAAAGCACTCTATTGCTATCTGTTGATAGCAATACAAAATAAAAACACAGGAAAAGTACACACAGGATGAGTGCTTTAGGCATTTTGGACAAAATTTAAAAATAAACGTTCAGTTGCTGCTATTTATTCAAGCTTTCAACACAGAACTGGGCTAACACCCTACAGTAAGAAATTCAAATGTGGTGAAGGTGAAGCACACAGGCTTACCTGATTGCTTCGAGCATTCTCACAGACAAACGCTTCATAGGCTGCCGCAAATTTGGGGGCATTGTCATTGACATCAACAACCTTAATTGCAACCGGAACTTTGGCTTCCTGGTGTTGTTTGTCTATGGGTGTAAACAAAACCAGAATGAAATGGAAGCAGGAAGATCCCTCAAAACAAACAAAATCATAGCAAAAACTGTATTAATTGTATGCAAGTGAAAAAGAAATACGCTAAGGTATTTCTGTTAGGATTTACTGCAACATACCAATTTGAGTCAATTGGAAGACAACAGAATTTATAAAATTGGTAACAAAATAATTCAGTGAAATACTTACGAACTTCAACTGCAAAGACAGAGATATTATGCCAAGCAATTTCTTCCCTATCCAAAGCTTTTATTGTCTTGATGTTGCCATCATCTGCATTAATAGTAAAATATCTTTCAAGGTCAGTGTGACGATCAATTGAATACCTAAAGATTGAAAGTCGGTCATTAGGTAAAAAAAGATTTAGCAGTTTCATGCATCCTTTTTTTTTTTTTTTAACATTATGATTTTTAAATAACTGTAAGCAGTACCCTTAATATTATTTTGAATGTAATGATAAATGGTTCTTTTAAAAGGATGTTCACTAGGTTCAATTCTACATTTAGAAAAAATATTGTCAGGATGCTAGTAGTAAGTGAAAATTATTGTTCTTTGAAGTCTCTATATTAAAGCCCCCTGATTTGATTTTTTTTTACATTCTTCTCTTACAAAATATGATTACAATATCTACAGATATAGTTATGTTTTTATCTGTTTCATATTAATGACAAAGATCTTTAAAGTCTTCTGATCTTTGGATTACTCAAAATGTTAGTCGATCATACTAGCTTATTAAATATTATCTATTACCTACACATGTCCACAGTTTTATGCACCTCTGATTTTCATCTTTACCATGCAATTCTCCAAAATGTTAACTATACCCACAAAATGGTGTTTTATAATTTAAGTTACACTGAGAACATGACAAAAAAAAAAAGTACCCTAATAGAAGACTACCCAATATAACTGCAGAAAGTAGGTGTGTATATGTAGTTTTCATAAGAAATTAATGCTTTGCATTTATCTATAATAGTCTGTAAGGCACTGTACGGACTCCTATCTTTTGAGAAAGTGATAATAAAATAAGATATTTTTAAGAAGGATAAGATATAGAATAGAATCTAATTCAGATGTCCTCAGGTATATTTTAGGTAGGCACAGCTGTGGTACACTTACAGGACTTTCTGATACAGACTTTGAGAAAAGAGTACCTTATGGAATAAGGCATAAAAGCAATGCTGTATGGTTACACTTAGTAATATTCTATGTAAATTAGGAATATTACTGTCTGCGGTCTATTATGCTATCTTAATAATTTGTATAACAATACTAAAAGCTTACCATGCTTAGAAAGAAACAGCCTGCTCTAATGAAGCATACCTTATAGCACTGTTTGCAGCATCAGGGTCTTTGGCATGTACTTTTCCAACCACAGTGCCAGATGCTGCATTTTCTTGTACTTCAAAAATATAACTTGGTTTTAAAAATACAGGTGGTTCATCAGCATCTTCCACTGTAATCTTAACTGTTACTGTGTCCTTGAATGGTCCATTGCTGATGAACTTCGGATCGATATGTACGTTGGCTGCCTCTACTTTCAGACTGTAGGACTTTTTGGTTTCAAAATCTAAAGCTGTGAGAAACAAGAAAATAACGTATTCATTCAACAGAGTTAGCAAAACTAGTGTAAAAGCAGTCAACAGTCTCCTAGTATTCAATAACATAAAACAAATGTGAGCATATCTGTCAACAAGCTTGGACTGAAATGTGTGTATTTAAAAACAAAAAGACTGAAATAGAAGGAGCTACATTCTATGTATGGAGCAGCATAAGAAGGCACTCAAAATATCAAGACGAGTCTATGCCTTGCTCTTTGCTTCCTGCATCTCTCAGGAAATCATCTTTACTGGGAAAATTACCCTTTCCTTTGTGCAGCCTTCCACATAGCACGGAAGAGGAATGGATAGGAAAGGGGTCAGGCTTGGACTATCCCAAGCTGTCAGGCATTCCTTTAGAGATATGGATATGGACAAAGTGAAGTTAATTTTTTTGAAGTAGTAGAGGAAATACAAAGATGGCTTGCAGTTCTTTGATTTCTGTAGTTCTTTCCATCCCTAGATCTCATGTCACTTTACAAAGTGGAGGTGAAATAATGCCAGCTAGGTCCTTTAGAGAGCCTGATCCAAGACACAGCATATCTGCATTGTCATCAATGTGAAATGGCTGCAGTGTTGCAGCATTGGTCACCTCAAAATGATCGTGCCTCTAAATACCCGAGAAACAGGTGCCAACCACAATTCACAAAGTAGGCTAACAACATAAAGCGAATGCAGGCAGTGACAGTATGCCCGCATTTTAAAATGCACATGACATACATTCCCACTTCTAGAACAAGCACAGTAAGTTGAACCACAGGATAATTTTGATTAGAGGAGATCTCTGGGTCTCCTCCAGAGAGACTGCCCCAATTTACAGAGCAGGGCTAACTTATAAGTTAGGGTGCCCTGGCCTTCTGGTTTGACTTTTGAATATCTCCAAAGGAGATGAATAAAAAGATATGAATATTCCATGATTTCTAAATTATAATTTAATAACACTTTTAAAAATCATATTGATGTATGAAATCACCTTAGTATTTCTGCTGCTTTTGGCATAGCCTGTGACTCCTTCAGAACAGTATTTTGGACAATGCACAGCTGAGGAATTCAAACTATAGGGCATGAGGCTGTTCAGACTGAACATAAAGCAACAGTGAATGTCTGCTACTTATCAGCACTAGGCAAAACTTCATTAACAATGAAGCTGATGGCATTGTATTTTACCGTGACTTTTTATTATGAATTCATTTAGTTTGTGCAATTAATCCACTGTACAGTTTTTATGTAACTCTTCTTGGTTATTTTCTTCCATTCCAATTCAGCTAATGGGGAAATGGAATATTAAGAGTTAATCACAGCTTTAGAAACAAATTAAGTGAAATTGCATTTACTGATATTTTAGCTTAGGTGATAATCCATTACTACCACATACTCTGTCAGAAACAAAGAATACTGCACTTTGGTAGGTTTGAAAGGACAGTACTACTCACCTTCTTAAGCTTTACAACACCTTCCTGAGTCTCATAGTCTGTTGTAATTTCAAACATATCCACTCCATCTCCATCAATGATGCTGTAAGCTACTAAGCCATTTTCTCCAATGTCCGGATCTTTGGCCTTCACTCTTCCTACTTCCTCTCCAGGAACAGCTGCTTCTGACACTGACATCTGGTACACACCTGGCAGAAGAAAAAAAAAAA